TCTTTTAATTTCAAAGTCTGGGATCCTGAATTATTTCACTCACTTTGTTCAAAAATATAGGCAGCTAAACTACAGTATATAATGCCAATACAGTACAAGGTTATGTGGGGATTTTCCTAATCAAAATTGCAATGCTAAGCTCTAAGGTATTTATAGATTCAAATATATCTGTTGTATGAATTCACAAATCTCATGCTTAAAAATTAGAAGATGGTCAAAACAATTCTATCTGCATAATGTAATTGAAATGGAGACAGCCTAGTAAAGCAACAAAGAATGGGCAGTATCAAGAAATTTGGTGGAAAATTAAAATACAATATATTTTATAAGGTTTGGGACAATTCATGCATTATAGATCCAAACATTATGTTATGATCCCTCTTCATTGTTGAGACTCACTTCTTTTTACAAGCCATTCTGTCAGTGATTAGTGAAAAAAAAAAAAATCCCTTGCAAATGCGGTATGAGAGCATGAAGAAAAGTCATGCAAAAGTCCTTCGTAGATTAAATGTTTAGATTGGTTTATTTAATCTGAATTCTTATTTTCAGCAATCAAATTGAAATCCATGATACAGCAAAAGCTCTATCAGTATTTTAATTTTAAATCTGAAAAGTTTATAATTTGGCCTGAACTGAAATTTGATGTGCATTGTTTCAGCTTAAGATTGTGTTTTGCTTTAATTTCTATACAATGGCTTTATCTGCTTTCAGATATACACTCATATATATGGATTAAAGAACCCTAAATTGATATACACAGTGCCATGCTACCAGCTTAAGATTCTTTTTAGGGCTCTTATTTGTTAGAACATTTTTCATTCTGAAGTATGTGATATTTGCCAAGTGATTAATCCATTACAGAATGTAACTGGTTTTGTGACTTTATAAAATAACAAACTATGATGTTAAGAAGCTTTTAAAATAGGCCTTTCAATCTAATCAGTATTGCTTTAATGGAACCTAGTTATGATTTTTGTGATGTGTCTATATACCTATTTATATGGCAAACCATAGGCATCTATTTGGTTTATAATGTGTTTTTAAAAACATGCCAACTGCATAGCAACACAGTTTTAATATTTCTAAAACTGTCATTCGCATCTACTCTGTAAATAACATAGGACAGTCTGTGCTCACTCTAGACTAACTATGTGATTTGCACCTGCATAACTTAGGCCAGAAACTGGACTCACTTTTACATTTATATTTGAACACATAGAACCTGAATCCTGTTGTCTTTAAAGCTGATTAATGAAACTGGCAAGGTTCTTACTAATAGCAGCATAAGAACACTTGAATCTTATGTTTTTCTTCAGATGCTTAGCTGACAGACGTCCTGAAAACACAGTTACGGGAACACTCTCCTGGTATTCTTTTAGTAACTGCTGTATACCCAGATGGATTGTTCAGAGCTGAAAGTATTCAAGGATCTGGATCAAGCTTATTGTTCAAAATTAACTCACAGCTCTGAACATGTAAGAGTATTATTATTATGCTGCTATGCACAGTGGACCTGAAGACCTACCAAATGAATAAAATAAACAGGATAAATAAAATAAATCAGGAACACGGCCCAGGGAGAGGCTCCAGTCCTCACCCCTAAGATTTGTATACTTTTCTTGTTTCCACCACTATCTGAATGAGACTATGGCTTTGTTTCGTTTTCAGATCTTTCACAGACTTTTTTTCTTTTTATTTTTAGCCCCAATACTGCCAAGATACATGCATTTCTTTAACTGCTTGATCTGTGAGTAGTTCAGTTGGCCTCAGGTGCCTGGAAATGTAAACAACAGGTACTGAAGTCCTATCTTTGTAAACCCTGACATCCAGGCACAGCGAGTCACAGCCCCATGCTGTGCCTTGTGCACAGCACCAGAGGGTCCATGATAGCTTTGGGTTTCTAGGCACTACTAAAATATGAAAGAAAAAAAAGGAAAAAAAGAAAGAAAGAGATGAGTCTGCTCTGAAAAAGTTAGACACACCACTTAACTATGGCACTCAGGGCAAAACTCCAAACTGGGATGCCGATCTTTCTGAACCTTCTATGTAGTCACTGGAGAGAGGTGCTTTTGCCAAGTTAATTTCAGAGATACAAGCATCCTGCCCTAAAGTGCCCTTCAGAGAAGCCCAACCATCTTAGATGTCTATTAATCATGCTCAAACAACAACCTAAAACTAAGCAGCAAACTTAAGAGCTGGGAGCAAAGCACCACCTAAGTCATGCAAGGTTTCGCTTCAAACTAAGATTTGACACAAAGAAATATCCAAGAAGATGGAATTGATAGAACACACTGTTACCAATGTTATCCATGCTAATACCAGTCTTGTGTTTTTATACTTCTTAAAGGAAACATGAATCACATATAAAGCCTTCTTGTTTCCCTAGCTAACCCTAACACTAGCTCTTTCATAATTAAAAATACAATTGGGGTACAAAGCGTATGATAAAACTCTCCTTAATTTTCCACCTACTATTTTATCAGCAGAACAACAACTCATTCCCTGAATCTGTCTGAAAATTCAAAAGGATCTGTTTATTTCAGCTCAAGTTTAGCATAGTATCTGAACATGGCTTTCACTGTGGCACTGCTATTACAAGGATAAAATTACAATGAGCCACACCTACCCTCCCTGAAATTCCAGAGGCTTATAAAAGAAACAGAAATCTGGAGAGCACTGACTACATCTACTGGAAGCAAATGCATTTCATTCCTAATAATGAGCTGATCTGGTATTGTGAATGAAAAGGTCTTAACCTCATTAAAATGCTCTGTAGGTCTAAACGGAATTGAGTTAGGCATCAGCTGAGATAAGCAATTCCCTGAACACATGAAATTTTTAAGACAGTCTGATTCCTTGGAAGAAATGTTGGATGGTCTTTCCCACCCAAATAGAAAAATAGAAAGGAGAAAAAGATACATTCCTTCACATTCTTTCAAAAACTTAAATTTCCCAGGTATTAGTTGGCCTAGATAAAAGATTACTGCTTTTCTGGGAAATAAGTATGCACGTTGTAAATCCCAAGAAAGAACTTTGTGTTTTTCGGCAAAATAAGACATATATTGGTTAAATATATTTGGATTAGTGGATTGGCAATCGGTGTGACAAGAAAACATAAAAACCCAACAGTAGAAGAAAAAAAGGAATTTTTGACGTATTTCCAATTTTTATTCTTTGCGCATCTGCCCAAAATTTCATTTAATTAGCAGCTCTGAGATTCAGTCTGTTCGTGTACTGACATACCAGAATCATGTCAAGAAAGCAAAATATGGAATTAACATCTCAAAACTGCATGTAATCTTCCCAAACCTCACATCTATTCCTTCCTGCTTTCTCCAAAGGGTGATTTTACACAAACATAGGCACATAGATCAAAGTTAGAGCAATTCAGAAGAAAAGTCAGACTCTTTTTTAACCTAAAGATTTTTTCTGTATGTTTCAAGACTTTTGTTATTGAAATCTGCACACAAATTCCATGAAGTGTAAAGAAATGAATGTAGTTACAATCTTGTAACTAGAAAGGACATTACAGTCATGTCATTTAACTGTTGACTGTTTGTGAAATTTCTGAGGGAAAAGAAGGATTTGATGCCACTTATTAATTACTGATAATGCTTGTATTTACATGAAGAAAATGGACAAAAGGAAACCACGTTTTGAAATGAGAAGTCACAAGTAAATTTAAGAACCACTTTGGTTACTTTTCCTAAATCAGGGTTCTGACCTAACCAAATCCTTCAAATAACCACAAAAACATTACCACTTTTATGAGTGAGGAAAAAAAAATACGAAAAGAAACACGAATATAATTTTTACATTGTTTGTATGTAATTCAAAGGGATTTTATATCAGACATAACACTTTTTTCATTTTAATTTTTAAAGTATTTCCTGGACTTGTCCTTAGGCTTCATTCACTGATAAGAAAAAAGGCACGAGTCGACTGAGTGGCACTGAGTGGACTGACATGGCATTGTTTTCTATCTTTTCCTATTTCGAATAAATGCCCTAACTACAAACATACAATTTCAATTTAACTCATAAAAAACCATATGCCCTCATTACAAAGCAGTTATCAAATTTGGTATGAAATATGTGTTCTTATAAACACCACAAGTGCTTTAAAACCTGAAAATGTCAAGAATTAAAAAAAATCTTAACAGTTTCAGGAGAATTTAACACTGGTTTGATCGCCCTCCCCTCACCCCCATTTAGAAGTGAGATGGCCAAAACATCAGCCATTTTATCTCCTACAAGGGGCTGATGTATAAAATATGTCAAATGAAATGCACAGCACATGAGAAAAATCCATGTATTCTAGAGCTGTTAAATTTTCAAAACATTGAACAAGAAATTCACAGAGAAATGATTCAGGAAAGGAATTTTGCATAGACAGATGTACAACACTACTGAACATGGACATTGCAGACACAGAAATGTACAGATTAAGTTGTAAATTAAGCTGAAGCACACACAGTATTTGTAACACATGCTACCTTGATACATTAACAGGAAACAGCTAAAAACATTTTCTTAACAGATGTCCCCACATATCACAGTTTAGAAACTTACGTAAAGGTATTCATAACATTTGAACCCTAAAGTCTTATCACTGATTTGCCTTAGGCTTTCACCTTTGAGTCCAACCTGATCATTGAACTTAAAATGTGCAGGAGTTCATTCTCATTCAGTTATAAAGAACATTAAATAACAGAAGTCACACTGGCACCAACATGTCAGTAGGGCCAAATTTTAATTTGCAACACATGAGCAAGAAAACTGTATTTAAAATTTGGGAGAGGATTGACAATGAGAACGTTTCCTCAGCAAAAATGTGAGTTAGATTTTGTATGGCATTCAGAAATAAAAAAAAACCCTGAATTTGAATGGCTTCTAGAATGTCTAATTGCTATTTTTATCATTGTTTGGTTTATCAAGGTCACGCCAGCTAACTTGTTTACCAAATCACTTCACTAAATTATGAAAAATTACAGGTATTACCTTCTGTGCCTTGCATATTTGCCACTAACATGACCACTGCCATCACAGCCAGGTGTGGGACAGCTGCAAAAGAAGAGAATTAATTATATAGGTGCCAGTGTGCTGCAGAAAGATCGTACTAAAAGCAGGCAGAAGGTAAATGGAGGGCAACCAAGACAGAAAGAGAAATCAAATAACTGAAGGGAAATAAAAAAATAAAAAAAAGGGGATGCTTTTTATTAGCAAGTCTCAAGCGAATTAATTTCATCAGTGCAGCAGGGCATGAGCAAACCACCAATGAACTTGAAAGTGCATTATACCCACTAAAAGGCATGAATTTTCTAAATTGCTAATGGGGATAGATTTTACACTCAGAGCACTAACCTGAACAGCTCTTGTATGGCTGGTTCCACGGGAACTGCAGAGAGATGGAAAATATATAAAAATTTATCATCTATTACAAGTCCCCCTCTTCTACAGAAAATTACCAGAAATGTTGTGTAAAAGCAAGGGTCAGAATGAATTGTGCAAAGAGATTCTGGAGGATGAAGGTCACCCTGAGCACGGGCCTTGAGTGATTTACTGAAGCAAGAGACGTACCTCGAACACCTTTGGAGCGTGTGCGATGGCGCTTCTCGTCTGCATCCACCTCCATCTGGGAATAGATTAGCAGGCAGTCAATGTTCTTATCCTGCATGCACAGACTATCAATGCACAGACTGATACAGTCTCTCACACAATTCATTGACACTATTTTAATTCCATTTTATTCTGTAAGGGAAAATGTACCTTACAGGGGATTTTTACAACCCTTACATTTATTTAAAAACAGAAAATGTTATAATTCCTGCTTTAATCAGAAATGCCCTGCTTTCATAGCAAATTATATGCAACTAAGTGCTGGCTCTTCTTTTTGAAGGGATATTTCTGACATAAACCCCTGATTACTCCCATATATTTTGAAACGATTCAATAGCTTTCTACACAATTTGAAACTAAAGTCAAGGGGTTGCACACCATAGGTCACTTTCTAAGAAATACTTTGCAGTGGGAAAGAAAGGAAGGGATAATGACTGAAAAGGAGATAAAAGGTCACCATTAGAACTTCAAAGATTTCATTTTATTTAATATGATATTATGACCTTCGTCAACATTGTTCATATGCATTTTTCAGGAATGTGCTCATTTGCTACATGTGGCTTAATCTTTATCTTCATTTTATAAACAGCATGTTTATCTGATGTAGCTTCCTAGGCAGTAATAAATATACAGCTATCTTAAACATTTACCAGACAGGTGAAAGGTTGGAGACGAGACCTTGGAAAGCATAAACACTGATCTATAGTAATTACCATAGGGCCACATGGGTTCTTCTGATTTTCCATGTACTATTGCCACCATGTATTTATAATATTATACTCAAAAGTAAACTGTATAGGCTAGCTAGAGTTTATGATTTTGTACAACCTAAGCAGATTGCACTGAGCTATGTTGAGAGAAAATATATACAGTATCTGTATCATCAGCTCCTTTAGAGCTGAAGAATGGGATAGCAAGATGGATCTGCAGTGGCTCATACATAGAGATGATATTGTAAAGGTCAGGAAGCACAGAAATCAACTATGGGGCTTTAGTTCCCTCAGGAAAAAAAAAATTAATCACTGGTGTATAGCAATATCCTTGGATTGATATCTGCTAAGAATGTCACACATTTCATGCAATAACATGGAAACAGATCCAAAGGACTTGCACTTAATCACCTAGCATTATTTGGTCAGTACCTTAACACAAAGGTGGGAAGCAACTAACAAGGAACAAATCAAGGCGCACTTTTGCAGAGCTTCCTCAACACATCAGCAGGAAAGAGTCAGCACAACAAAATCTGAGGGTGACAGGGATTTGATGAAAAGAAAGGGCCGCTTCCACAAAGCTCTGTGCTACTGATGTAATTCTGCTTCTTGGTAGTCATAATCTGGCTCCTGGTAGCATTATATATTTTAAAGGGATGATCTTCTAAAATAAACAGACATTACAAAAGCTAATACAACATGAGCATCTATTAGGGGGCTTCAGAGAAGTCTTCTAAAGGGGACCTTTGCATCATTTTGAGCAGGTTTCATTTGTAAATTAAGACATCTACATATAGCTGTATGCATACACATTAGGAACATCGGATTCCATCAGCAGCAGCAACAATGCTATCTGAGATACAGTAATGTTTCCCATCAAGTCTTCAATTGCCAGTTCAGAAAGGCATAGAAGGGTACAAGTAAGTCCTCTGCTATATCTGCCAGCCCTCTGTAGATGTTTCAGATATGCTCTGGCATCAGAAATGACACCAGCTTCCTATGCTTAGACAGCTGAACTTACCTCTAGTTAACATAGCCACTGGAGCTAGAAGAACAACTCCTCTGATCAGCTACTGGGTGTTACTTTAGGCTAGACAGAACAAGCCTCTAGACACCTTTGCTACTGTCTAGCTCTCCACTGACTATAGCATGAGATACTTGGCATGGCTGTAGATATCTACTACAGGCACCTAAATTGGATCTTAAATTTTAACCTATACACCTTGACTTCACACTCTGGCTGGCTTCTGAGCTCCTAAGAGTTGATGGTTTTTAAGCTTTTCAAGTTGCGCATCTTTGGTATATAAAAATTACCAACTAGATGATAATATTCTTTTATTAATAAGAAAACAGTACATTGTGTTATTCTGCAACTCTTGCAATGTATAAGGACTTGGAGCTGCTGAGAAAAGCAGTAAGAAAAAAGAAGAAAAAAAAAAGCAGCTTATAGAAGGTGGAAGCGAGGACAGACGGCCTGGGAGGAATACAAGGATATTGTCCACAAAGTTAGGGATCAGGTCAGAAAAGCTAAGGCCCAGTTGGAATTGAGTCTGGCCAGGGATGTCAAGGGTAACAGAAGAGCTTCTATAGGTATGTTGCTGACAACAGACAGACTAGGGATAATGTGGGCCCCCTCTGGAAGGAAACAGAAGAACTGGCTACCCTGGATTTGAAGAAGACTGAGGTTTTCAATTACTTCTTTGCCTCAGTCTATACTGACAAGTGCTCTAGCCATGCTACTCAAGTCACAGAAGACAAATGCAGTAACTGGGAGAATGAAGACCTTAAGCTTGCTGTAGGAGATTAGAAGGTCTGAGATCATCTAAAGCTGAACAGTAGCCTTCCTGTATCTGAAGGGGGCCTCTAAGGATGCTGGGGAGGGACTCTTCATTAGGGACTGTAGTGACAGGACAAGGGGTAACAGGTTAAAACTTGAACAGCAGAAGTTTAGATTGAGTATAAGGAAGAAGTTCTTTTCTGTAAGGGTGGTGAGGCACTGGAATGGGCTGCCCAGGGAGGTTGTGAATGCTCCATCCCTGGCAGTGTTCAGGGCCATGTTTGACAAAGCCTTGGGTAGCATGGTTTAGTGTGAGGTGTCCCTGCCCATGGCAGGGGGGTTTGAACTAGATTATCTTAAAGTCCTTTTGAACCCTAACTGTTCTATGATTCTATAATTCTATGATTCTATATGCTACTGAAACAGGCAGGTAACACAGAAATTAACAGAGTGATAAACTGTGTTGGAGGCAGGCCAGTTACATATGCTGGCCTTTATCATTTGGCAGATTTGACTCATCTAAGGAACATGACAATTCCAAGGTCCTGTACCTATGAACAAAGAATATGGACCATGCTTGAAAGACAAAAGATCATAATCTGTAAGGCAATAACATGAGGAAGATCAGATGAGCATGAGCCATTTCTGCGCTGCTGCAAAATGTGATCCATAGCTGCACAACCTTTAAAGGTGCATTAATTTTCCAGAAAATCACTGAGTTATTCAGATACAGTCAGTAACTTTTAACAATAGAGGGCAAGTTTTCATCAGGACTTTATCTATTTTTCTGTTAGCTTGCCGGATACCCTGTTGGAGTCTTCAGGTTTTCAAAGTATATAGATCTAAGGCTATGAGCCTTATCATAGGCTTATCTGAGATAAAGATACCAGAAGTTTCGCAACCAGCACTGTTCTCCCTAACTCTAGATATGCTTGCATACGTATATGGACTTCCTCAAGGCTGCAATCTGTGAGGGTTCCAGAGCTTTAAGTTCCTTTCCAGGACAAACGGTGGTTTTTGCTTGCTTGTGAGAAGGCAGCTCAGTGTTTCTGTCCCTTGCAGACAGGTAGTCCGTTCTTGTTTAAAATTCTCAGGGTTTCTGAGTTTCTTGCTAGTGGACTGGAGACTGCAAGGTTCAGTCTTGTTCCAAGACTTCCAGCTAATCCAACACTTTAATTAGTGAATTATTCTGATTTCACTATAGACATGATATATCAGAAGTGTAGAAAGCCATGGATGAACGAAGAGCCATAGATCTGGTCCTGCAAAACATTTCCTTCTCAATTGTTTGGATTTCTTCAAATCCAAAAAAATGGATTCTCAAATACTCTCAAAAACTGTTCACTGTTTACTGAGGCAGAGCATTCACTGTCTATACTACACAAAGGTAGAAGATGTTATTTATGACCTCAAAAATCTATGGCAAGTACTGGTAAATGCTAGAATATTATGTAATTGCTACTGCCAATGAAGTATGTTGCTAAAATTATTTGAAATTTTGCTTTTCCCTACTCAGTAGTATTAGATATACTCCTTATGTGATAAAAGTAAAATGTTCAGAGACAAAAATTACGATTTTATGATGATATAATGAGTTGATTATAGAAAAAAATAAAGGCTGCAGTTTAACATTTATCTCCTTGTGACTGTCAAGTTACTTAGTAAAGGCAGATTTTCAGCCAGCCATGATGTAAGATTCAAATTTCTATAGGTAAGATACCTGTTCTATTTTTATAGCCAATGTTTACTCAGCATTTATTTTTATAACTAAAAGATATTATTACTTCTGTGCAGAAGTTAAAATTAAAGAATTTAAAGAATATTTTTTTTTATCTTGTATCTATCAGAATTAAACAAAATATGTCAACTGAATTTCCCACAGTTAAAATACTTCTGGATTCTCATAATCAAAGAAGCATGACCTGGAAAATTATGAATAGTGTATGTCAGCAAGGTATCCCATACTATATTAGTACTTTCTGAAGTCTTCCTAAAAAAAACCTGCAAATTGACCTTATGCCTCTCTCCTCAAAACATATCAGGAAAACCCAAATTCTAACATACCTTATTCAGCATGACTGTGTAATCCAGAAGCAATTATTTTTCTAACAATGGTATTTTCAAGTATGTCTCCTGATAATCTAAATAAGTTTTTTGAAGCCAGATATGGTTTGTTGAACCTATTTTGTAAATGTTATGTTTACCAATGACTTCAGTGGTTCCCCAAATGTCTCTGTGCTTTATGACATACTCTTTACTACATGAAAGACAACTATACTCTTTCAGCATGCTGACCTCCACTCTCAAATAAAAATGTACAAATCAAAATTATAACGATCACTGTGTAAAACAAATAAGAAAATAATATCCTAAACCGAAAGTGTAGGGCATGATTTTTTTGTGATGCGTCTATAATTTACTTTAAGGAGCTATTCCTCTCTTTTGTGCAATTCTCATTAAGTTCTGTGTTAATCTGAACTCATTCACATGACCCAGAAAAAAGAAAAGGCAATTCCAAACATTAAGAAA